TCTGATCCCATCTCCCACCAGCTCTCTTACTGATTTTTCCTTTTCCTTCCTCCCTCCCTCCCTTCTTTCCTTTCTCCCTCCCTGCCTCCCTTCCTCTTCCCCCTCTTCCCTCCTTCTCACATTCCTTTTATTTCTCTTCTGCTTTAGTGCCATCCTTTCATGGTTCTCCCTTATTTCTTTTTGTGTGCCCTTCTTCAGCTTCCTCTCCCTTCTTTTTTTAGTGTGTGTGTGTGTGTGTGTGTGTGTGTGTGTGTGTGTGTGTGTGTGTGTTCATGTGTATGCTGACGCACTTGTTTCTCCAAGTGTACATGGAGACCTGAAGACAACCTTGGGTATCCTCTTCAATGAGTGAGGCCATCCACCTCTATTGACATAAATTCTCTCATTGGCTTGAAGCTCACCAGTTAGGCTAAGCCAGTGAGCTCCAGGAATCCATATGCCCAGTACTAGGGTTACAAGTGTGAGCCACCACTCCCTGCATTTGTATGTTGATTCTGGGGATCAGACTCAGGTCATTGCACTTGCAAGGCCACTACTTACCTGATCAAGCCATTTCCCCACACACCCCTTATTCTAACATTGTCTACCCATCAAACGTCCTGTGCTTCCATCTCCCCCACTTTAAGTATTGTAGCTGTGATTGGGAAGGTTCAGATAACTCTCCCATCACAGGTAAACTGTGTTGAGAAGCCATGCTTGCAATGAAGATAGAAGAGATGGTGGCAATGTGGGCCATTTCCACTGTGAAGTCACCCACACATCTAAATCAAACCAGTGACCAAACTCTGTCTTGGGTCCGCTTCTACCCATGGGTTGCCCAAGGTGACAGACTGGCATTGTAACACCTGGAGAGAATGCCAGCCCCTTCATCTATCAAAAATGTAATTGAAAATCCATCCCAATATTTCCCTTAAAGTATGGTGTGTTCAATAGAAGGAATATGTCAACATATTGTGTGCAACGTGGATCCTGGGTGACATCCTCTAACAACTGGTTGCACAGTTTTAAGTGCAGGACATATTCCACATTGTTTATATATTTCTGGGCTCTTCGATCACTGATGATTCAGGTGAATCTAAGACAACACACTTCAAATGGTGAATTTGAAATACTGCTACAGGTAATAGGGAAGAGAGCTGTGCCCACAAATCGAGTATCTACTTTTACTTCTGTGACTTACCCCCAAGAACAAGAGACCTCTACTCTCTTCAATTACTCTTCTACATTGCATCAACCTGTGTTGAGGAGGGTCTCAGTTTCTACTCTATCTTGCCAAAAATCCTCCAAGTTTTCTTAGAATTTAAGAAAAATGATAGAAACCTACTGTGGGATGTTCTGTATGCTGTGAATATGTGTTGCTCAGATTGGTTAATAAATAAAATGCTGATTGGCCAGTAGCCAGGCATGAAGTATAGGCAGAGCAAACAGACAAGGAGAATTCTGGGAAAAGGAAGGCTGAGTCAGGAGTAAAACACAGAGGAAGCAAGATGTGAAGGCAGAACTGAGAAAAGGTACCAAGCCACATGATTAAACATAAATAAGAATTATGGGTTAATTTAAGTGTAAGAGCTAGTCAGTAATAAGCCTGAGCTAATGGCTGAGCAGTTATAAATAATATATCTCTGAGTAATTATTTTAGAAGAAGGTTCAGGACCACGGGGTCACGGGGCCACGGGAGCCAAGCAGGACCAGAGAAAATTTACAACTACAAATAGCACCCAACGTGGGGCAATAGTTTCCACTGAAAACCTAAAAACTTTTTAAAAGAAAAAAGATTCTAAATGGAATGAAAAACAGGTTCCTGCTTCATGTCTCATGCGGGCTGCCAGATGCCACAGCATTCAGGCGTAGCATGGTGAATTCCCACCGCAATACACAGTGATGTCTCCAAGCCATGCAGAGCACTATGCAGCAGATTTAGCTTTTGCTAGTACAGGGTAGACAAGGTTTTTGGGCTACACACTGCTGGATGGAGGCACAGACACACTGCCTCCCAGAGTCTAGTGGTGAACATGGTTTCCCCCAAAGCTGGCAGTAAACATAGTTCTGTCATGTTGGAAAGCTGAGATGGGAGGATCCAGTAGCCAAAGCTATTATTTTAGTCCTAGTAATGCTACAGTTTAAAGCAATAGATTCACAATAGGAATGATTCAGATGGGATAAACCCTAAACAGTTTACAATGTATGTAAAAATGTACATAGGCTTGGAAGAGAGGAAAAGCAATATGAACAGTTATATAAAGAAATAAAAAGTTTTAAAAAATAAAGTCTTTAAAGAGACAATAAAAATAATATAAAAAATAAGCCACATAAAAATGGATAATACACAGAGAATCTGGATTATGTCGTCTTTGGGATTTTTAACTGCAGAAAGATGTTTGATTATAAAGGCTACACAGTTAAACCAATATGTATATTTTAAAGGTATTTTGACTTCAAAATTTGGATCTAAGGATATGTTGCTTTGGAAATGAGGCTCTGCTTTTGTTTCCACAGGAAGCAAGAGACTGTGGATTTGTTCCAGGTTAAGATGGATCAGATTTGACCAAGCCAGATCTCCTGAATCTTAACAGATGGTACCTATTAACCAAGGTTATAGCCAGTCTTCTCAGGACTTGAACATTATCTCAAATTTTCTCAGGATTCCCATAAGACTATCAGCACCCACAACCAGCAGGAAGTAGCATAAAAAAACTACGCCTATATTCCCCCCAAAATGGATTATGGATATTTGTCTTTGTTTAGGTTGCTGGTTACAAATTGTTATTGGTCATAGTCAGTCTCTTTCTTAAAAAAAAGGATGATATGATATAGAAATATAGGATATAGATATTATAGGATAAAAAGGTGGATTATTGAACCTACTATTAAAGAGCAACTTCTTTAAAATGTTTTACATTGTTTATTGATACAAATTTAAAGTTAATTTTGTTATACTGTATGTATAGTTCTACTCTTATTTAAGGTATTATGTTTGAGTACCTCATTTAAATTGTGGATAATTAAGAAATAGAGATTAATAATTAGTCTTCTATGATAGTCAAACCTATAGTCATGTTGTTTTCTAGGTATACATAGATAAAATTCAATTTGATAGAAAATCTTCAAACACTTCAAAGACCTACAGAATATAGCATTTAAAATGTTTTAAAAACTTAAACTTTCCTGGACAATGAGACATATCTTCTCCTGGCAGCACCAATTTACTTCAGAGAGGAGGATGGGTGCCGAAGACACTCCATATGGAGTTTATCTTCTTTATGATAAAAGCTAGCCATTTGGGCAAGAAACTATTCTTGCCTGGGCTGCTTGACAGTATGTTGTATAAAATGGACATGCATAACCCATAGGAAGATGACCACTGAACCTTGCAAGGTGAAATGATCCTTCAGGTTTTTGCTTCACAGAAAAAACTACCAGACATTCTACAGGATACAGAAAAAGGTAACTGAGAGACTCTAGGCCTGTGGGTTGAATATGGATGCCCCAATGTTGCAAAGGAACTTTAGATAACTATCCAGGCAGACAGCTGTCTCTGCTGTTCTAGATTTGTGGATGTTACTTACAATGCTCTCCCTGTTTACTTAGGTAATATTATATCCTTCTTGGGTCTTTGATGTAGTTGAAGACTAGATAGTTATAATTTTCCTTGGTTATGATAAAAGATAAGTTAGATATAAAACCTTAGACTCAACAAATATAGGATAGATAGAATATTTTTTTTAAATTTTCCAAATATCAATAGACTAGATATTGTAATGGTAATTTTTGCTTGACAACTATTCTATTATATATAATTTTACTATGTTAAAGTTAAAGCCTTCCTTTTTTGATTAGATAGAAAAAGGAAAGTGCTGTGGGATATTGTTCTGTATGCTGTGAATATGTGTTGCTCTTATTGGTTACTAAATAAAATTCAGATTGGCCAGTAGCCAGGCAGGAAGTACAGGCAGGGCAAATAGACAAGGAGAATTCTGGGAAGAGGAAGGCTGAGCCAGGAGTTGCCAGCTAGATACAGAGGAAGCAAGATGTGAAAGCAAAGAAAAGGTACCAAGCCATGTGGCTAAACATAATTATGAATTATGGGTTAATTTAAGTGTAAGAGCTAGTCAGTAATAAGCCTGAGCTAATGGCCAAGCAGTTATAAATAATATGTCTTTGAGTGATTATTTTAAAAGCAGCTGCAGGACCACAGGGCTGTGGAAGCCAGACAGTACCAGAGAAAATTTACAACTACAGAAACCTGATGAAAAATGTTAAAATAAGAACAAACCAATAGTCAACACTACACAGCTTTAATAGTTTAGGACTTGAAAACTCATGCTCACAGAGCTTATGTTAGCAGGTAAATGAAGCTACCAGAGTTGGCCTCAAGGAGATAGGGGCACATCTAGCTCTCTCCATCTCCATTCTTAGGTCCAGCATGTTTCACCTGCAGCTCTGAACCTGTAGCTCTTCTGCAGTAGATTGTGGAATCTGAACTCAGGGGTAAGACTCAATACATGGTAATCATAGATTCTCTACCTAGCAGCATCAACAATGAAGTTTGTCAGTTTGTTTTTTATTTATTCTATTTTCCAATTGATTCATAGTGCTAAGGAGAAAATTAGATGTTTCTAATTAATCATGTCTAATTGACAATGATACCAAGAGAAAGGGCAGTCAAACTACTACTGGGTGGGCTATTCCAGAGTCAAGGAGACAGAAGAACTCTATGACCCTGGCCTTCAGCAGCATTATCCTGTTGTGGGCACAATAGGATGGAGGATCTACATTGATATCCTAAGCCATTTGTGTTTATAAGCAATTGTTACTACAGTTAGTCACAAACCAATTATACTTCTATGGATAGAGAGTTGTAATCAGTTTGTCTAGCAGACACCCAATCTGCATGACAAGAAGCTCCATTCTCCAAGAAGGCAATTCTGCAGGATGCAACTCAGATTGACGAGTTGGCTGGCTGTTCTGATCTTGTTGGTTTTCATCAAGTTACTTTTAATTTTATTAACTTCTAAGAAAATGATGAGGGATTTGAAAGATGGCCCAGTATCTAAGAGCACTTGTTGAATACTTCTTGCTCTTCCAGAGGACTTAGGTTCAATTCCTGGCACCTACAAAATGTTTCACAATCATTTATGGCTCTTGATGCAGGGGATCCAATTCTCCCTTCTGTCCTCTGACTGGTCACACATATGGTGCATATACTTACATGGAGGCAAAACACCCATACACTTAAAATGTTTTGAAAAGAAAATGATGAAGGAGTGGTAAGCTAGATTAAAAACTGAGATTCTTCTGAATATCAGTTATTCCCAAAGGCTGACCTCTGAAGCTCCCAAAACCACCAGAAACTGTTAGATATGTTGAAGTACATGGGCTCCTAAGCCAGGCACATTGGTTTCAATGATGCAGCGGTAGCTTAATGGACTTCAAGTCTCTTAACCAACCACGGACAGTCCCTTATGCTGAAAGGATACTTTTAAAACACATCTCCAGATTACAGATGGAGAAATGTATGCTGAATCTGAGACTCCAGGCCAAATACAGGCATTAGTTGTCAATCATAATGAAGCCAAGTCATACAGAAGGTTCCCAACTCTTAGTAAGAAGCTAGTCACTAGCTGTTGCCCATCCTCCTTTCTAATTTCTGCAGCATGAGTCATTCAGAACAGGACAAATCCTTAAGGCTATATACCAAATGGTTTTATTTATATAAAATATCCAGAGGCAGAGATTTTGGTCACCTTTTTCAGATCTTCAGATCCAAGTATTGAATACTTGACCCCCAGGTGGCGATATTATTGTAGAAGTGTCTAGAAATAATCAGAGGTGGAACATGACTATAGAAAATAGGTGTCTGAGATTGAATCTTCAAGGATAACTCATCCCTGACCACTTTCTATGTCCTGTCTAACATGGAGTTAGAATCTTCTCCCCTACCTGTTCAGATTCAGCCAAATTTAGATAAAAATGATTTAAAAGTAAATAAATGAAACAAACTAGAAGCAGCAATATAAGAACTGTTAACATTGCCTTAGTACTCTAGAGAAGATTGTGTGCATATGCTTGAGAATGTGTGCTCACCCATGGGTGTGCCTGTGGATATCACACACCCATGGGTGTGTCCAAGATTGATGTCAGGTGGTTTTCAGTCACTCTACACCTTATTTTTTAAGGCCCGGTTTCTCACAAAACCTTGGGCTCACTGTTTAAGCTAGACTGGTTGACCAGTGAGTCCCCATGATCCACTCATCTCTGCCCCATGCTCTGGCACTGGGCTTACCTACATGCACCAACAAACTCAGGATTTCTACCTGAAGATCTGAACACAGATCTTCATGCTTGGACAGCAAGCACTTTTCTACTGAGCTGTCTCCTCAGCCCTCTAGAGGATAAAGAATACAAAAGGATGTATGTAGGTTCTATGCAAACACTATGTCATTTTCTATAAGAGGCTTGAGTGTCTTCTGATTTTTTTTTTTTTTTACCCTAGAGGGTCCTAGAACCAGTGTCCTGAGGATACTAAGGCATGATTGTTTATTAATTGTTGCTCAGGATTTGAAATGGAAATGGGGACTAACTATGAATAGATATGTGTTTGTGGGTAATGAAAATGTCCCCCAAATAGATTATATTGGATAGTCACACCACTCAATAAATTTACCAAACATCATTAAATTGTGCTCTTAGTGCAGATGAATGCATGGTCCATTCTTCACGCCTCAGTGAAGTTGTTTGGGTTAAAGAGAAAACGAATAGAGGGAATAGAGGTGGTCACTGAGCAATTGTGGCGCTGTCCACACACCCCCTAGATCCTTGTGTTCCCTACAGGCTCTCTGGCAGTCAATTCCTGTCCCAGGGCTCCATGCTCAGGGGCTTCATTGAATCACCAAACTTCACCCTGTGCACATGTGGGACAGACTTGAAGTAACAGGCTATTTCTTCCTTGACAGCATTCTCCCACCACTCTCCTGCCCCGGGGCACATCTGAAACAGTCTGATTTCTCCAGTGCTCTGCTGATCTCTGGCTTCCACAGTAGCAATTGTCTTCCTCCTCCTTACCTCGTTCCCCCACCTCCTGTCTCTACTCTCCCATCGAATGGGCGGTTTCCACTTCAGTCTCTGCTTCTTTGTGGTGAGGACCTACTGGAAGCTGGCAGGCAGAGGAAGATGGTGACGCAGTTCAAGCAGACGGGAAGCTATAGCCTTGGGAGTCGGGTTGCCTAGGGTGGAGTCTCAGCTCTACCTTGCATTTTTTGCATTTTCCTCTGTGTCTGCTCAGAGTCTCTGTGATATCTCTGTGTATGGACAGTGTGAGGCAACAATGCAGCTGGATCCATTAGCAGAGGCATTGGCATACAGAAAAATGTGTAATTATATAGTGTTTTACGGGATGATGCCTAGTCTACCAAATAATTATAAACATTTGAACCAGGCTGAAATTTTTTGAAAAAGAGAGAGAAAGAGGGTCACTTATATTGGCTGAGGCTTATCTGCAAAGCATGCATTTGTGGACAGGGTAAAAAAATCTCCATTCTTACTGTCTGGGTGGCACGAGTCTTATTCTTGCCAAATGGCACCAGCTATTCTACACATCTAGCGGGCAGAAAGTGAAACAGACTGTGCCTCACTTTGTCTGAATAAGTAAACTTGGTTGAGTGCATCTCCCAAGAACCCATTAAAGTAAAGTAATTATCAAAACTTAGTAGAATGGATTGTCTGACCTTCTGAAAGGAAGAGGATACTGTTCTGTCTCATTTGGTTCCATATTAAGCCTGGGGTGGCTCACTGGGTGGAAGAGCGACTGATTTGGGGACTTTGAAAAGTGATTTAACCTCTCCAAACCGAGGTCCTGATGTGTGGAAAGGAGATGGAAACAGACATCCTTGGAAGGACATAATGCCATCAAAAAGGATATCCTAAATATTATGTGATTTAGTGTATACAAAGAGGACTGTGAAAGCCAAAAACTGTAGCAGATGGCCACCAAATGTTTGCTGTTGTTATCTCTTCGGTGGTACCCCCCAGATATGATACTATGGGTAGAAATTTGGTTCTATCAGCCTATAAGAAGTAGAGCCATCTGTCAAGGCTGAAATGACTGTCCTTAGTCTGTCAGAAGTAGCACTACATGCATGGCAATTGCATGGTGTGTAATTGCAATTGCATGGCAGTTGCATGGCAGACATTACTAACTGATCACTGATATTTTCATTTAAGTTTAAGTACAGTCCAAACATCTCTTCCAGTAGGCCACCCAAAATCACCACTACAAATTGATCAAATTTGCGTGTAGGATGGAAATTATTGCCAGCTTCCTGTGTACGTTTATGAACAATGGAGTTTAGTGCACTGTCTGCCTCTCAATCCTTAATAAAAAGATGACTGAGGGAGAGATGCAATGAGATTATTGAATGCTGTGTTCACTGGCAGCTTCATTAGACAGTCTTGTTCAAAGAACAAGCTCCTATTCCTCTAAGGCCCCTCCCCTGAGATGTGGGCCTTTGCTTAGTAGTTCTGGACTGTTTATAAATTTAGGTACCAAAGAGCCTCCTCTGAATTATACATGTTGAGAAGATCTCATCTTGAGAGATGAAAACTCTCAGGTTGCAGCATTTCTGTCCAGTCCTGATGTTCCAAGATTTCCTGGAAGCATAAGCTACCTGAAGAGCTTGCTCCGACGATGAAGGAGAAATCCTTAATTGATAGGACAGAGCCAACTATTTTCTGGCCGGGAGGCACATCTCAAAACTGTAAGTCCGGCATCTGCAACTGAGCTGTAATGCCAAACCCGATGGTGATCTCCTTAGAAAATTGGCTTTAGCTGTGTGGATGACTGCCCTTAAAGCAGAGAGCCCAGCATCCGACACCAAGGCTGCAATCGCAAGCATCCCATGCTATTAATCACGGGAAGATTGAGTCTCTCTCCAGCGTTTGCCTTCTTCTCCTGCAGACTTCAAAGTATTAATGCTGTTTACACAATTGTAAAAGTTAAACTCATGTCTTCTAAATGAAGAAATGATGAAAGAACAAATAAAACCATGCAGAGAGCCCCATCAACTGAAGATGATGTCAAAATCTGGGGTCTTTTTCCTCATCATTGGTCCATGCATAATTTACTATAATCATGTTTGTGACATATATGCAAACATTATCTCTCCTGGAAAGGGGTTGCCTTTTTAAATTTTTCATTCCATAGCATAATATTGCCCATGGTTCTGCAAATTTATTGAATTTTGGTTGTTGCAAAAATGTTCCAATTTATCAATATGTCATCATGCACTTAATCATGAAGCCACAGTGTTCAAAGTTGGATTGCATCTGGTGTTTACACACTGCAAAGATGCTGTGGTAACTGTCTACAAGTAAACTTTTTCTATCTGAATATGGAGGGTTTCACTGGGTCACATTCACAGACAGATAGCTAGATAGCTAGCTAGATAGATAGATAGATAGATAGATAGATAGATAGATAGATAGATAGATAGATAGACAGACAGATGATAAATTATAAAGAATGATAGCAAAAGATATGAGAGATGGAGTTATAGATATAAATGATAGACATAAATATGCAAAGAGGTAGATATGTCGACACATAGATATGCTATGACAGAAGCTGTCTAAGGCTTGCATAACCTCTGTGCTGGTCACCTGACTTTCATGCACATTTGCCCAGATCAAGGCATGGGTCATTTCAACATCCCCAAAGATCTCTTCAGGTCATGAATTTTAAATAGGCATTAACTGCCTATAGGGAAGGTCACTTCCTTCTTTGCCCCCAAACACTTGCAGTTTCTTTTCTGAGCCAGAACCTCCTGGCCATACTGAACATCAATGGCCTCCTTTAGCACTGCTGTGTGGTACTTTGCTGCCAAAGCCAGTTTCTCATAGGCATTTCCATTGTTCTCAAAGGAACTGGGGAGGGGGCACTCTTCCAGCTCTTCAGGTGGCATTCTGTCCTCTCTGTGTATGCTTGGCATTCTTCCTGTTCAGTTTACAAATGCCTTTTCCAGTAATCAGCACTTTCCTGTCTTTCTAGAAATAATGGAACTTTACATAATTGTTTTGCTAAGTGAAAACTCACCAGGGATAATGTACATAAGCAATATAAATATAGAGATGTAAATAAGATAGATAAAAAATAAAAAAACTTATCTCCTAATACTGTTTCACTTCTTTAGAGACACCTGCTCATCTCTCCTAGCATCATCATCACCAGCACATTTATTGTGTACCCACTGTGTGCCCTAGATTGCCTCAATTACTGAGATACATCTTTCGATTCTTACAATACTTTCTCTTCATTTTACAGTTAAGAAAACTCAAGCCACTTCTATGCAAGGACGACATATGTTGATGAATTTTTTAAGCCAGTATGACTGCCTTTGGAGATGGTGCATTTAACCACCAGTCCAGCCCTTGCTAAGGTAGGCAAATACAGCCTGGGTTTTCAGACAGCAGCAGTTTACTGGTGTCCCATTTAGATTTCTGACAATTGACCTTTTTGAAAGGATATGCACCAATTCTAGCAAAAAGACAGCTGCAGGAGCTGGAGAGATGGCTCAGTGGTTAAGAGCACTGACTACTCTTCCAGAGGACCTGAGTTCAGTTCCCAGTACCCACATGGCAGCTTAAAACTGTAACGCCAGTTTCAGGGGACACAAAACCCATGGCAAAACACTAATGTACATTAAAAAAAAAAAAAGACAGCTGTATCTTCAAGAGGGATACACTGTGTTTTACATATTGACTGTTACAAAACAAATGTGGGGTGGATAGCATTCATATTTTAATGACTTGATTGAGATATAATTTACATATGATAAAGGTTCACCCTTTTCCTTATATTACAGAGTTGTAAATGATCACTACAGTGTCATTTTAGAACCTCTAAAATCATCCTCCCCCAAACAGCTACATGTCCATTAGCAATCACCTCTGAGGCCTCCTTCCTCAGCCTATGCAACCACTACTGTATGTCAGCCTCACTAGACTGCCTGCTCTGGATATTGCATATAAATAAAACCACGTGGAACACGGTCTTTTGTGCCCGGCCTTTATCTTTAGCTTGCTGGTTTTTTTTGAGAGTTATCTACACATTCTCACGGATCAGAACCTCATTTCTTTATGGAGCTGGGTGATACGGTCCCATGTCTGTGAGACTTCACCTTGATGGCAACTTGATGGGGCTTAGAATCACCATGGAAACACACCTTTGCACGTGTCTGTAAGCGAGTTGCTAGGTCTAGTTGAAGACTGAAGATCCATCCTAGGTGTGGGTGGCACCATCCCATGGGCTGGGGTCCTGGACTGAATAAAAAGGTAAAGGTGAGCTGAGCGCCAGCGTTCATCTCTCTGTTTGCTGACTGCAGATGCACTGTGAGGAGCTACCTCACCCTCCTGTCCCCATGCCGTTCCCACCACGACGGACTACGCCTCAGGCGGAGTGAAAGAAGCCCTTCCTTGGTAGTTTTTGTCAGGAGTTTGTTACAGCAGTGAGCCAGTGGCTAATACCGTGTCGCCAGTGTGCTGAGCTGTGCATCTTATTCAGTTTTCCCTGGCCTGCAAGGGTCCATGTGTTCAACACCACTTCACCTTGCTCAATCATCCCAGGCCTCGTCGGTTCCCAGTCACAGCCTGTATCTGAGATGTTTCCCTTCTAGTTCCTTCTGTTTCTCCTAAAAATGCCACTGTTTAATATCTTACCCACAGCTCACCTTTAGTCCATTTGGAATTGTGTTACACATCCTATAAGAGCCCAGCATCGTGTTCTTCTGATGGAAAATCAACGGGTAAGTACTCAGAAAAAAATCATTTCCCTGCTTGATTCAAACACTGCCTTTGGGTTCCCTTACAGGGTTCTAGTTTTTCTGATTCCTAAACCTCTGATGTCATAATACATTTGATTCAATCTAATATGTATAGTATCATGTAATATGTAGCATTATGCAGATTAATATAATATATAACAATGCTTTCTGATGCATATTAATATATAGTAAAATAATTCTGATCCATGTTAATATAATATATAGTTTAATGCATAGTAATATGTTATAGTATAATGCTTTCTGATGCTTATTAATATAATATGTGATACATATTAATATAACACATAGCATGTTATATTCTGATATATACACATAGTTGCCTTTTATATGCACATATAGATATGCATGTACCTATCAGCTTGGTTTATTCCTGGGTATTTGCTCTTGTATTTGATGAATTCAATACCCTACTTCCCCTCTCCACCATTAAAAATAAATATCAATAATTTAATTGATACTAGAGTTTCAAGACAGTTTGACAAATTTTTTAAAAAATATTTTTTCTTCTTAACTGTCTTCCCACTCAAGGCTTATTTTCCTTGGACAACATAAAATGATGTTTTGAAAATTATTTTTAGAATTTTTTTCATATTGTTCCTGACGCTTCTTACTTGTCTCCCTGTGTTACACTACATGCTTTGTATCTAGTGCTGTGCTGGCTTCATTGAGGCCCCGTATCCACTTCAAGGGCATGGCTGCTGGTGGAGAGGAAGGCCATTAGTACTGTTAGCTGTCTAATTCTGTTTCTGGTGTTCCAACAAATACTGATTGTAGTCAGGCCACTCCTGCCTCCT